CCGCTGCTTAGCTTGTCAGAAAAGATAACGTCTCAACCAGGGGGGGGCGGACTGAAAACAGTGCATTACATTCAACTTAGTTTACTTGTGTCTTTCCATGTAAGACAAACCTAGAAATAATTTGAACACATTTTACTTTTTTTTTTTTTGTCTCATGTGAAAATAAACTGCGCATGAAAAGGAAGGGGGCGCAGAGGGAGGCAATCTTGTTACGAGCCGGCATAGCCCTGGGAAGATTTCTATCAGACACACGTAAAGAGAGAGGCATCCATTTAGAAAATGGCTTTTCTAGGCATGCTGGGCCATTTAGCACACCCTGTGACGACTCCTGTTTGGGGCAATGATAAATGTTCTTTCACACACAGTCTGTGCACTCTGTCAGGCCAGCACACACACATGCACACACAACCATATGGGCACCCAACACAAGACATCCCTACGAGTGGACATAACACTTTTAAAGCGAGAAAAGCTTCATTGGTTTTGGCTAACAGATAGCACCTCAGGCCCTTGTTGACTCAATAATTTCAAGTCCAAGGAACTTAACATCAACTAAAGATGAGATTATTAGGATCAGGTTGGTCACTTACTTGAGAATTTGTCTTTTGTAACAAGCTCTAAAAGGAAACCACATCGTAATAACACCTTTGTGGCAAAATTATAATGATGTGCCAAAAGCAGCTTTCCAGTCTGATTGTCCTGCACAATATATTAAAATCACAATATCAATGTGTGCAGAATGACCAGGTACTACCAATGCACTGACTATTATTTGGGGCCTTAACTAAAGATTATTTTGCAAATCGATTAATCAGTTGATTATATTTTCAATTACTAATCGAATAGCAAAAAGTTCCTTAAAAAGTACTTTATATGGAATTCAAACCAGGTGAAGCAAAGCTGGTCCGTTTAAGGAATTCTGGATAGACAGATAATTTCTATTGTTGAATACAAAATATAGAATTTTTTTTATAGTTTTGATATAATTGCTTCTCTATATCTGTAACTCTTATAGCTAAACGTGTGCTCCAGCTAATGATCAATCGATTACTAAATTAGTTGACGATTACTTCAAATATTGACTAATAGGGATTAATCCCATTAACTGTTTCAGCCCTAACGCGATGTGAAATTAATCACACCCCTGGTAGCCAAAGTGTCTATTTTAAGCTGTGGACAGAGTTAATGATTTGGGTTATGATAAGGAGGCCCATCACATTTCTTTTAGAGTCAATACATATATTTTCAACTCAATATGGTGAACTATGTAATTAATGTAGAAATACCATTTTGTCCAAAAAACATTTACATTAAGACAGAAATTGTTTATTGTTTCTCTTACAATTCAAAATGCAGAAGACAAATTTAGTTTGAATATACAACTACAATGAGAAAATAATAGGTTTTATTCTTAGTATTATTCAACATGGCAACTGATATCTGTCTCCTCCTTTTAATAGTCTTTGGTTATTCCCTCATGGGTATTAATAATTCATGGGCATACATAGGGAACCGTGATAAAAAGCTTATGAAAAGTGGGAATTTAATTTAAAAACATTTTGGAAAAAAGAAAAAGAAAATGGCTAAAATATGATTTCCAAATAATATTGCAAAATTCAGCAGTAATTTTTGCAAAGCAATGATTGCTAATATTTTGCAAACCTGTTTCTGTTATTCTAGTTATTTAACATCCTGAAAATATGGTTAATAGGTAAACTATTGGTACACACAAAGCTATCTATCTTAAACAAGCGTTACACGTTTCTTGGATGTATTTTATTAAAATACACAAGAAAACAGCAAAAAATCTGTAAAAATCTTTGTTATATGAAGAAAAACATGTTTTTTTATATTCTAAAATGACAGATATTATCTGCAACATCTGCAGTTTACACTCAAGTCTAAATCAGCAGCACTTTTCTTACCTCAGTATAGAGATGCATAATTTTTATGAAACAAAATAGACTTTTACCTTGAAACCGTGTTACTTAGAAAGGCTCCTGCCCAGTAGATGTTAACAGTGCTCAGCAGGACTACTAAGAAAAATATTTACACACTGTGAAAGGCAAACATTTTGACAGATAAATACTCTCCTCTGCTGTGTTTACGCTGGATAAGTGCTAAAAATCAACCTTGTTATATCGGACACTCTGAGCGTCTGCCTTATATCCAGTAATGGTCATTACCCTTTCCACCGGGACAACCTCTGTCAGCTCTCCTCCTCCTCTCAGGGATCCATCAATGTCGCCACCATACGACCAGCCATTACACAACCCACTGTTACTGCTAGCATTAAAGCCACAGGCGTCACACAGGCCCGATGAATCACACTCACCCAAACAGCAATAATGAAGCATTTATCTCAGGGTGCATTACAAACCCTGGAAGCCTAGCAAATGTGCACATGGCAGAAGTACGATGAAACAGTGTCAATAAAACTGTGCTCAACCATCTGTTGTGCCACAAGACACACATGTTACATAGAAATTGTGACACTGGGATGCTGACACAATAAAACCAAATCTGTGCTCTGCAAAGTGTGCCCATCTCATGGGGGTTATTTAGTTCTCTTGTAATCTTACTTAAAACCCTTCCCCCAAAAGGAAAGACAATCAGATGCTTTCATTGTATAATCTTCCACCTCACATTTGAAGGGCAAATATCAAGATACTTTAGAGCGAAAAAAATTTGTATGAAACATAGGTCACAATATCTCTGTCCATTGTTTCCAAAGCAGATCAGTACTAGTATATATCACACACTTTTTTGAAACCCAAAATTGGCTCTGTTTAAAGAAAGTACTTCCATATATGGATTAATTGCAGTTTCTTTTTTATTTTTCCGTTTTTATTGACAGTGGATTATTAGCAGTTTGTGTGACTGTACTTAGCCATAGTCTGCCACTATGGTTGTCTCCCTTTTTTGTTAGGATGATCTCATTAAGAAACATGGCTGACCTTAAAAAACAAACAAACAAAAAATTATCTCTGTTAAAATAAACATTTTTGCATTTAGACAGCACAGTTATGACCACAGATACCTTCGGCAGGGAGTTAACAGTCAAGCCACTGAGAAAAATGTAAATATTACTTTTAAACAAAGTTTAGCAGACATAAAAATGTTTATTTTTATTATGTTTTATTGTATCTTCTACAGCTAACATTACTACAAGAGGGCAGTCCTGATGTCACTGCTAGCCAATTAAATTTGACTTAAGCTGCCATCTGAGCATTTTGTTGACTCTGTGTTCATCATTTGTTGGAAGTGTCTTTTTCATGCCTCATAAAATGTGTAGAGGGAAAAATTACTCTGGACACACATAGAGTTCATGCAGTAAAAACCTGAGGCCGGCTTGTTTGGTCCTGACAAAAAAGCTAACTCTTTTCTTTTAGGTCCGGTTTGTATCTGGCAGATTGTACTTGCAGGTAGATTCAAATGGCCCTTCCCAGTCAAACGCCAGCCGAATGGCAGCCCACTTCCCTACAACTCCCAGCTAAATCCCCTCCAAATTCCAGCCACTGGATAGACCTCCTCTTGTATATTTTTTTACTCTGACTCCACCCTTTCCCTGAATTACAGGGTCTGACTAGGAGATGACGCCTCTCTTTAGATCTTAATGTTCACAAATCATGACAAAGAATATTTTAATATAAATATTTATGTTTAAAAAGGAATAGTAGGGGACCAGCCAAGGATCCATCAAGGAAAGTGGGGAAATTTTGAATGGCTACTACTGTATAAGTCACAGCAATGATCCTCACTTCCATGTGAGAATCATAGCTCCCATCTGTCAGAAATAAGTAGGACAGAACACAGAACCAGAAACTGAGGAAAACCACGATGGGAATCCAGTTTACAGCACCTCTGTTTTGCACATGTATGCTGTTATTACAGCTGCAAAAGCACTGGAAGTTTTTAGAGCAGCCCAGTCAAAGACCTTTTATTTTTAATTTTGGGATGTTGTCGGACAATGTGTCCTACAACCCAGCACTGAGATCCACCTTGCTGGCAGCAGTGTTGCTAAGCAACAGAAAGCGGGACAGGTATGATTTCGATACTTGATACCTTATCCGCTGCTATATAGAGGTGTACTTTCAGAGTTTTGGTTAGGGCCAGTTTGTATTCACATCTGAGATGAACCATCCCAGACAGTGACCACCTCAAAAACCGGGACTCAGTCTGGTTGTTCAGACAAGAATTCACACCTGCATAAAAGGTCCAGACCAACCAGGGAAGAGCACTTTGGTCTGTGTGAAGCAGACCAAATTGGGCAGGTGTGAAAACACCCTAAGTCTGCATTCTAAGAACAGTTAAAATTAAACCCTCTTAGGTAAAATACATATTGGCATATTGACCCTTGTACTCCTGAGCAGGACACTCTGAACACTTAATAAAATGCTCATCTTTGAGTTGGAGCTTTGATCACAAGTGGGATGTGTTCACCTATGATCATTTTCAAAACCTCAGATACGTTGCCCCATGCCTGTTGGCTAGGTCTTGAACAAAATGCCCTGAACCAGCATTTTTCTATAACTTCCTCTCCTGTCAAATGGAATAACATACAAATCTTTAACTTATACAATTAAACTAAGAGCCTTGCTATCTTGACCTTTATCTTAGGCTACCATACTACACAATTATAATTTATTATATGCCAATTTGAAGGTTCCAAGCATGACTTCGTCATTTCTCAGCAGCTTTCCACTTAATCCTTGGCTCCTATGTTGTGTCTTTTTATCTTTCATTAGCTTCTTAACCTACTCAATAAAGTTTTACAGATTTTACAATTCTACTGTGCAAAAAATTCTAAAACTATTTTGGGCAAAAATCACAATACCTGATCTTTTTAAATGTAAAGAAATGAATAAAAAATTCTTGTTTTCTGCCTCAGCTTCTGAGATTCACACATTTGCAATGATGTTTTACAACAAAGCCCAGAGGAATCTGTTTAATAATGCAAGGAATGCAGCTCGTCACATGTTCGCCTGACGTCAACTTACCGATCTCATCTGCTGAGCTCCAGTAACGTGCTGAAGAACCTTTTCCAGCTCCTTCTCAATGCGTCCAGCCCAGTGAATCATCCTGCAGAAAAAAAGGAGGCATGTTGATCCTGTGTCACCACCTTAACAGGTCCTCATATAAGTCAGCTCACAAGAGTTAGTGTGTCTGTTAATTTGGGATAGTTACTTTATTTCCCCCATCTATGTATAGCTTGTGTCCTGCTGTAAAGCTGCCAATATCCCCCACAGGCTTCTGGATCCCTATCTGGAAGTATTGTCAAATTTTTGCTAATATCTAAGCTACTCATCACAGTTGCCCATCACATCGTGCGTGTATCTATATGGTCCACCCTGGCAGGACTCGTAGCAGTGCCTGTCTAGCCTCAGCTTTGGATCTGTAGCTTCGCAATAAAACTGCTCAAGTCTGACAGAAGTGCACCCTAAGCAGGAGCTGATCTCTGTTAGACAGAGCCAAGTTCGGAATTAAGAGATCAAACGCCTGGAGCTCATCACTGTATATCTCTCAGAGAGCAACAAATGACTTAATGGATCCAGATTTAGATCATTTTAAATAGAAGGAGCAGACGCCAACCTAACAACCTTGATAAGCGCGGCACAGCTCAGAAAACATTTTAAAAGCTTTCAGCAATCAGACGAATAAATCCTGTCATGCATTCAGTCACCAGCCACCAAGTGCCAACCTTTCCCTTTCAGAAGCCCCAAAGATAAGCAATAATCTGCATCAACATCTCAACACAATGTGGTTGCATTTCTTTTAATATGATGACAGAAACAAATGTCATTTTGAAATGTCAGATTCGCTCAAAAGATGAAGGGGAAGACAGAGTTATTAAACTTCACAAAATTACCATGCAGCAACAGTGTTGGCCATAATTACCAAACCACTCCATGGGGTGACGGGTGGGGTGTGAGAAGCAGTAGGCCAAAGCATGCAGGCCAAAGCATGCATCTATGCATTGTTACTATTTTTATTATACAAGTTCAAGAAAATAGAAGAGGCCTTTTAAGGAGTATGGGATGGGAGAGTGGAGCGGATGACACACTGGAGAGGCTCCTTACTATGAAAAGGTCCCTTCGATGTGAAATAAAAAAAGCTTACAATGAGAAAGGGCAGAGCAGGGCACAATGGAACTACCAGTAGGGGACAATAGCTATTTCCCAGTGACAGACAGTATTTGATATGTTACATTAAAATCTGAGATTCAAGAGTAAATTGGTCAGAGGTTGGAACTTGACAATTTTCCTATAATCAGTTTTCAATGGTGATCAGAGAGGACAAGTAGGGAAATACTGGAGAAATGCAAAGGTTCAATGCATTTCATGGATTAAACCCAACAATGACCAACATTTTCAGTCTACAAACAACCAAGAGTATGTCCTTTAATCGTACAAAAATGCCGGATCTAAGCTTTGCTAATTAAAGCATTGCCATGTGATGCCCGATATTTGAATAAATATCAAGCCAAAGCAAATAAGTATGCCTGCTTCAAAGCTAGCCACCTAATTGATGTGTCGAATGTGTAACACATGTTTCTAATCAAAGTTAACTGTAGTTATTAAAAAAATAAATAAATAAATAAAAAAAACACAGATCATCTATCAGAAGACCATAAATTAAAACTGGTTTATTAAAAAGCCAAATGTGAAATCTGCTCAATTTGTACCAATTTCTTGACCTAAAGGATTAGAGATGTCATAATCCAATATTGATATCAGAAATTAGCCAAATACCAGCCTAAAATTACACACTACTAAATAAATAATACATAGATCTATGCATGATTTGTGCTGATATCATATTGAGTCAATACCAGTATGGTTCAATACTCAAAGCTGTAGTATAGTAATTGTTAAGGAAAGTAAAAAGTTCTTTCGGAACTTTTTATGCATCAGCTCTCTGACTTTATGGCAACTCCTTTGATTGAGCATGCATGTGGTGACAGTGCAAAGGAAAAATATTGAGACTGATCTTGTAAGTCTTTTATTTTCCACAGGATTCAAGAAAGGTCAATTTTCTATTGGATTAACATCTACAATCTCTTTCAAAGAACCTGACACACTATTTCCATTGTTATGCGTTTTAGTAATTTGCAAAAAAAATTTTGAGGAGGTTAAGATCCAAATTGGCCAGGAAAAGCCTCATCAGTGCATTATAAGGGATAGTTGACTTGCAGGTTTTAGGCCAATAGTAGTCAAATTAAATTGGTTAAAGTAATTTCATCCCCTTTATCAAAAAATCTCTTCTTTTAAATAAATCAAATGTGAATCTTATCTACTAGTCTCAGATTTGCAGAACTCGTGTTTAAGAACAGCTACTGAGAAATCAGGACATGGTTGTTCAGGAAATGATATGCACTACTGGGGCCTGGTGCTTAATCCACGCCTTTAGACCCTGTGTGTAATAAAAGCTGTGATATCTTCTTAAAACAAAGACCTTTTCATGGTTCAGCACATTAAAGCCGGTTGCATGCTCACTGCCTCTTTCTACTCTGATGGAGTTGTAGAAATGCTGCCATTTGTACCCCGAGGTTTTTGATGTTTTCCAACGCATTCTGATTTATGCCCGCCCCTACATTATGGAGAAAGCAGAAAATGTGGTGAAATGAGTTTGGATAGGAGACCTGTGTGGCAGCAGCGTAAATTCACTGTCCATTCTGATGCAATGGATCTCATCACTCGCACTGTCACACTCAAATATCTATTAGAGCAGGAGGTTGACTACTTTGTGATGTGTGGAAATAACATTTTGACAAGATTGCTTCTGATATTTTACCATCATTGGAAAGATTAACTGTTTGCAAATGTGCTGTGAGAAAAAAATTAACGGCTATCAGAACAGATTTTTTACACATAATTTGAAAATACAGAAATAACTTCTTCTGCTAGAGACAGTTTCAAACATATTTCCAAAAACATAACCCCTAGGCAAAAATATACGTTTTTGGCACTGCTCGGAATCTTATCGAAGTTCATCTCTGCATCAAAATCACAAACTACTCTGATATTAGTTTGCATCAGAAGCTTCACACAAAGACTTTCTCCAATTATCTGGCAAATTCTGGCAAACCTAATATGGGTGACCCAAAACCCAGTTATCAAATCCCAAGAGGTGTCTGAATATAATACAGACTTAAACAGGGGCACCTCAATCCCCAAGAAGAGGGAGAAATAAGAGGTTTTGTAAAATAAAAAGTAATGAGTTTTCTTTTTATAAAAAATATGTACTCAGACTCTCTTAAATGAAATAAATTATCTGCACCATCTATTTTCATTGAGCTTAAACAATCAAATCAGTGATCCAGCTAATCTGAGTCAATGGCACTCTCACTGAAAGTCACTTTGGGCATCAGACATAAAACCTCTGGAGATTTTCATCAGATAATCCAGCAGGATGCATTTAAAATGATGTTATTTTTCTAAACATCCAATGTCATCTACACAGTTTAAAAAAAGTAAAAATATCTTAAAAGCTGACAAGCTGTGTAATCAACTCCCTCCTTAGAATTTAGGTTAATGTTTGACATCTTATGCGTTAATAATTCAGTCCATCTTTAGCTTTTTTTAATAAGAAGCAAATGGGTTTGTCATTTCGTAAAGTTGTGCAAACTGTTTTCCAACAGGTGCACCCTGCAAAAGTCAAACTATATCTTGCTTCCTGTGGCTACAGGGTTTTCCGTGCACATATCCACATCATGACCCTCATGCGCTGCTGTTTTTCATTATTCCCATGCAAATTAAGTTTAAAACAACTGCGCCTTCACTTAGACTCCTGTATCCCCACGGTGCGTGCGTATTATCCAGAGGACTTTAAAGCCTAAATCGGATGTTCTCCCACATGCAGAGACAGCTAAACGCATCATGGACTATATTCCCTTTCATCCGCTTTATGTTTCTCAAAATCTGATCAGGTGGTATATTCGCCTTCAGCACGTGTCCGTGTGCATCATGTTGCCATATTTACAGTGCGTAGATGTATTGGTATTTGGTGTCTCTTTAAAGATGCAGGGGGGATGATGTTGATCTCCCTGCATCAGATGGAGCATCAAAGGAGAATCAGTTCCTCCAAGGTAAACTGCGCAGCGCACAGCCTGGTTGGGATCCACCTGTCCTACTTCAGCCCCCCCACATCCCAGCTACCCAAACAGTGCTTATAGTACTTACGTGTAGTGCTGTGGGAAGTGGTGGGTCCCGGCTGTCGGCGTGGAAACGCATATGATAAGTACAGTTTGTACAGCGAAGAGGCAGAAAACGCCGAGCGACTGTGCACGGATCGCCATTTTCCATTAAATATTCAAGAAACTGGGAGAAATAAGAGAGGGTACCGGAAGGACAGTCTGCCTCTCTGTTTATCAGCTGAGCTAAGAATAAACCGAGCTCCGGGAGGAAAGTGAGCTGTAGGAGGTGAACACGGTCGCAGGACGCTTCTGGACCCTTCAGCCCAGCGCGGTGAGGGGATCGACCAGACGACACGCAGGAATTTGGCACCAAAACAAATGATGCTAGAGGCAGAATCAGAAGGAAAGGATCGGGAGGAGATGCTCAGCCGCTGTTGCTGATGCGCCCGCCTGGCTGCTGGCTGTGCGCCCTCTCTCTCTCTCTCTCTCCCAGCTAAAGCGCACATTCGCTCCTTTTTTCCACTCCAGTGTAACGCCAGCCGTACTCTGTAAAGCTCAAAGCGACGCCTCTGTTCCCCATTACGCTTTCAAAATAAAACCATTTATAGTTTGTGGGGCAAACGCTGCAATAAAAACATTCAGCCCACCCATTGCGCGCATGCGTTCCAAATCTTTTTCCATTCGAGTTTCCAACCTTTTCCACATGTGTGGAATATTTGAGCAGAGAAGAGAGTTTAAGAATCGCCTTCACTGTTGACTCAGCTGTGATCTCATAATAAGATTTTAATTAATTAATAAAAGTCATTTTAATATTTTATTTTGTAGGCCTAACTTCCTGCAAATGTCTCTCTTATTCACTTGATTCATCTTTTGGCACAGAGAAGGACCTTAGACGGGGACGCGCATCAGGCCACCTCCTCCTCCTAATGCCCCCACCTCTTCTCCATGTGCCGCTGCCTTCTTCACTAACTCTGGATTAGAAGCAGAAATCAAGGCTTTATTTTGCTAATTAGTGGCTCGACTCTAGAGGGGTCTGTTGTATTAACTGGAGTGTAAACATTCAGCAATCACAGGCTTATCCGCAGCTACATTTGTTCTACTTATTATCACATCTGGTCCAGTGAACGAGCTTGAATGGATGCTGGGTGAATTAATAACCTTATTTTGGAGCTGTTTGTTTGGCGTTTTGTTCTTTGAAAAGCTATTTGGATGGAGGGCCTTGAAGTTAAAAATGGAAGAGGGCTTCATATAGATGAATGTTTTCCAAGTCACCATAGACTGTCAAATATCCATCTATCCATTATCTGACACGCTTTATCTGAGTGGGGTCACAAGGGGTGCTGGTTCTTATCTCCAGCTGTCTACACGCAGAGGCTGGGTACACCCTGGACAGGTCCCCAGTCCAAAGCAGGACAACACATAGAAACACAACAAAGCAGCCAATTAACCTAATAGTCATGTTTTTGGACTGTGGGAGGAAGCCAGAGTACCCAGAGAGAACCCACGCCTGCTAGGGGAAAACATGCAAACTCCATGCAGAAAGACCCCAGGCCAGGAATTTAACCCAGAACCTTCTTGCTGCAAGGCAGCAGTGCTACCTACTGTTCCACTGAGCAGCCCACTGTCAAATATATATTTTTTTATTTAAACAACAAACCAAGTATTTGCATTCAGCACGTTTAGGAACTTTTACCTTTCCGATATTGCTGTGTGTTTGACCATGTCCATCTCTCCATCAACTGTTTCCCACCACTAAATGAAATGCATTCAAAACAGCATGATGCTGCCACCATCAACTTTTCACAATGAGGATTGCTCGTCTAAATAATATTTCGTATTGATGATCAGACCATGTTTTCTGTTTCATGTGTCTTTATATTTCTGCAACTCCTTCAGAATCACCACAGGTCTCTTGGCGGCTTTTCTGATTAGTGCTTTCCCTGCACACCCTGTCAGTTTAAGTTTCAGTCATGTCCTTTTTTTATATATTTGTTGATAGTCCTTGGTATTTCTCAAGCTTCTCGTGTTCTTTCTTCTTGATGTTGCTGTCGCTTGGGATTGCCACATCTATCACAACCCAGTCTCATGGGAAAGTGTACCCCCACTACGTTGGTCCACACTGCAAAACGTAGTGGAGGTACATTAATGGCCATTTTTTTGTGGTACTGTTACATTTCTTCTGCCTATACGCTTTCTATTGCTGCCTTCTTCTGCTGTTTGTCGATCAACACGATGTCTGGTTGGTTAGCCATATATATATATATATATATATATATATATATATATATATAAATATGAGAGAGAGAGAGAGAGAGAGAGAGAGAGAGAGAGAGAGAGACATACCTACAATAATAACATAAAAGGACTGTTTTGATAAGGAAATAGCATGTAAATCCCATTTTGAGCAGAATAAGAATTTCATTTTCGTACTAGAAATATCTCATTCACAAGTGACATTGACAAACTAGTCCATGAATTTCTTATTTGAAGAGTGGACTATTGTAATCCTTTACTATCAGTTTACAAAAAGCAGGTAAAAGCCTCTTGCTAATCCAAAAGGCTGAAGCCAGAGTACTGATAAAAGATTAAGGGCAGGAGGGATCATATTTATCCTATTTTAGATTTCGTTCATTGGCTCCCTGGTAATCCCAGAATACAATTACAAATTATTCTTATGTATAAGGTCCTTAAAAAACAAGGTGCATCTTGATAAAGATATGTGATCCCTTGTGTTCCTAAAACAGCTTTTTACTCCCAACATACAGATTTACTGGTTGTATCTACAGTTTTCTAAATGTAGAATTAAATTACCAGTTTAAATCTGTCAGGTAGACACCGCATCAACTTTTAAGACTAGATTTAAAACTTCCCTATTGGCTCAGGCTGCTATAGGACTTACAGACCACTTATTTCATATTCTACCTATACTTTTTCACTATTTGTTCCATCGATCTTTAAGTTCTCTATGCAATTTTTTTTTACTTATGACACAATCTTGGAGGGTGGAATCAGCAGGCGTGCTGCCTTCAATAATTTCTCATTATAGTTAGTACAGTTGACCTTGTTTTTCAGTGTTTTGTCCCGTTTCTCTTCTACAGATCAATATTGACTGAAACTGACTATGTGCTCACTTTTACCTTCTGGACCAGATTATCAGTTCATAATTTTTAAAAGTTTTTCTCCTTGTCATAATCACCTATGGAGTTAGTTTACCATTACCTACTCTTGCATAGAAAGTCTTCCTGGATCACTGTGTCTGTGTTCGTTTGGTGTGAGGCATGTTAAAGTCCCTTGACCAAAGCTTTTAAACTAGTCTGTATATTTGTAAAATGCTTTGAAATTACCTGTTGTGAATTTGTGCTATACAGAGCTCTGTCAGATGTCCAAAGCTTCAGATATTGTTTACGTATAATCTAATCATTTGTCAAACTTCTCAACAACCCTATTCTTGGCCCGTCAGCTTTGTTCCTTTTCCTACATGCCTATGACCTTGACAGAAATACTGAAATTATAAACAAGGCAAGTTTGTTATAGCACAATTCAAATTTCTTTACATAAATTAAAATAAAAGCATATAAAGATTAAAAAAACATTTGTAAAAACAACTGGACCACAACCTTAAATCACTCAGTTAGCAGTTTAACTTTAACAGTCAAAGGCAGTTCTAAATAAATGAGTTTTTCATTTTGACTTAAAGAACTCAGGCTTTGAGCACTTTGACAGTCAGGATAAGCAGCATTTAGTTCATATGCTCCACTTATCTGGGAGGAACCCCCAGATAAGTGGAGCATATGAACTAAATGCTGCTTATCCAGGTTTGGTTCTACAGTAGTTCTGAGGTCTTCTTGAACTACAAGACCTGAGTGGTATGGGAGGTTGCTACACTGAAAAAAAAAACAACAACATTCTGTATTGAGGTGCTGATCTATTCAGTGATTTATAGACTAACAGAAGGATTATAAAGTCTATTCAGAGCTACAGAGAGCCAGTGTAAGGACTGTCATGAAACGAGACAGATGGACCCAGTATTCAAGGTAAGACAGACAGTAGGCAAGTTAAAAACATTTATTAAAATAAACAGACAGAGACAGAACTGGAGCAGGCTTCTGAGGATCTGCGGACCTGTAGCGACTGCAGGAGGGGACGGGGCACCGCCCAATCATTGACAACTATGGTTTAGGGAGAAACACAGGTAAGTGACAACAGTCATCTGAACAGGAGATTATCAGAGTGAGTCACTTATCTGCTTTAACAGTTCAAGTCCATCCTATCAATCATAGGCAGGATCAACCGATGCACTGCCAACAAGATGCAGCTCTGAGCCGTCTAGAGCGTCCCCGATGCAGCAGCCCCAGAGGGCAAGAAGGACTCCGATCCAGGTCAGGGATTAAGATCAGACTCCAGTAGTTCTGAAATCGATGAGTCCAAAGTCCAGTCAACGGTAACGATCCACACAGGAACAGACAAATACGGGTTCCAGGAATCCAGATATTGAAGACATGTTCAGAGTCCCGTGCATCAAGCATCCAGCTCAGACAGAAATGCACAGATAGGCAGAATCCAGCAGGAGTCCAACCATGGTTAGTGGAACAGATCAGGCTGTCATGATCTGGCCTGTTTGCTCCTCCCTAATTAGTAATTCCTCTCACCTGCCGTTTTCCCTCCCTGCCTCACTTATAATTTATTCCTCTCACCTGTTTCCTCTGGTTTATATTCAGTTCAGCCGGAGCATTCAGTGCCAGATCATTGCTTGTCTTTCTGTTCAGTTTTATTTGGTTCATGTCCTGGATCCTAGCAGCCAGTGGAAAGAGGGTTTTAGTGTTTGTCTCGTCTCCTGATCGTCAACTGTTCCTCCCCCGCGGAGTCCTCTGGGTTTTTGGCTCATTATGGGGGGAGGTTCAGTTTTTATCAAAGTAAGCCTGGCTCCAGGGTGGAGACCAGTTTAAAGTCCTGCTTCAAGTTCCGGTTCCTACGTCCTGTCTCGGCTACCCTCTTCCACTGAGCCTGCCTGTCTGCACCTGATCCTGTCTGCTCCTGTGCGTGACCACCTGGTCATGCTTCTGGTCCCAGTCTGACTCTGAACCCTCCTGGAAGCCTGTGGATGCCTGGAAGTCTGGATCCTGCCACCTGTTTCTGTTCCTGCCTGATCTGGATCCTGCCTG